GTGGATAAATGAAAAACAGCTAGCAGGAGATAGCGTCTCTCAAGCGATCATATGTGAAAAGGCTAGGAAGTTGCATGACGATTTAATTAAAAAAAAATGCCTGCAACTAGTGATGATGTGAGTGAATTTAAGGCCAGCAAAGGTTGGTTTGGAGAGATTTAAGAAGCGTAGTGGCATCCATAGTGTGATACGGCATGGTGAGGCTGCCAGTTCGGACCACAAAGCGGCTGAAAAATTGGCATGAATTCAAGGAGTACATAGAAACTGAAGGACTGGAACCTGAACAAGTGTTTAATTGTGATGAAACAGGCCTTTCTGGAAGAAAATGCCAAGCAGGACCTACATTACTCAGGAGGAAAAGGCACTCCCGGGACATAAGCCTATGAAAGAAAGGCTTACTTTGTTGATGTGTGCCAATGCTAGTGGTATTGCAAAGTTAAGCCTTTAATTAGTGTATCACTCTGAAACTCCCAGAGCGTTCAGGCAAAAGAATATCCTCAAGGATAATTTGTGTGTGCTGTGAGGGCAACAGTAAGGCATGGGTCACTAGGGAATTTTTCTATAACTGGTTACACCATGCATTTGCCCCCAATGTGAAAGATTACCTAACTCAAAAGAAATTAGACCTTAAGTGCCTCCTGGTGTTAGACAAATGCCCCTGGTCATCCTACAGACGTGGCAGAGCGACTTTATGGGGAAAATGAGCTTCATTACGGGTGAAGTTTTTGCCTCCTAATACCACTCCTCTCCTGCAGCCCATGGACCAGCAGGTCATTTCCAACTTCAAGAAACTGTACACAAAAGCTCTGTTTCAAAAGTGCTTTGAAGTGACCACAGACACTGGATTGACTCTAAAAGAGTTTTGGAAGGATCACTTTAATATCCTCAGTTGTGTAAACCTTATAGGTAAGGCTTGGGAGGGAGTGACTAAGAGAACCTTGAACTCTGCTTGGAAGAAACTGTGGCCAGAATGTGTAGACAAAAGGGATTTTGAAGGGTTTGAGGCTAACCCTGAGATGATTATGCCAGTTGAGGAATCCATTGTGGCATTGGGAAAGTCCTTGGGGTTGGAGGTTAGTGGGGAGGATGTGGAAGAGTTGGTGGAGGAGGACAATGAAGAACTAAAACCCCTGATGAGCTGATAGATCAACTTCAAGAGCAAGAGGCCAGACCTGGGGGAAACTGGTTCAGAGGAGGGGAGAGAGAAATTGAAGGAATTGCCTACTTCAAAAAATTAAGGAAATGTGTGCAAAATGGCTTGAAGTGCAAACCTTTTTTGATGAAAATCACCCTCACACAGCTATTGCAAGCCGTGCTGGTGACTATTACAATGACACTTTGTGAAACACTTTAGGAAAGTCATAAAGGAACGAGAGGTACAGGCCACTATGGACAGATATCTTGTGCGACAGAAGTCCAGTGACTCTCAAGCTGGTCCTAGTGGCATTAAAAGAAGAAGGGAAGTAACCCCAGAAAAGGACTTGCTACCTCAAGTCCTAATGGAAGGGGATTCCCCTTCTAAACACTAACACTCTCTCTCCCCTCCTCCCATCCCATCAATCATCACCAGATCTTCAATAAAAGTAAGTGTCATGTAATTGTGCATGCCTTTTTCAGTTTGTGTGTACTAAAATTAACATTTTTTTGTGGTAAAAAAATTTTTTTTTAATACTTTTGGGTGTCTTGCACGGATTAATTTTATTTCCATTATTTCTTATGGGGAAAATTAATTCGCATAGCGAACATTTCGCATAACGAACAGCCCTCTTGCACGGATTAAGTTCGCTATGCGGGGGTCCACTGTACAGTTATTGAGGCTAAAACATTGTGTAGTTTTAAAAATAGGTTAGATAAATGCATGAATGGGTGTGGGTGGGTGTGAGTTGGACCTGATTAGCTTGTGCTACTAGGTCAGTTGCCGTGTTCCTTCCTTAAGTGAATGCGACCTGACCTGACTAGGTTGGGGCATTGGCTTAAGCTGGTAGGAGACTTGGACCTGCTTCGCATGGGCCACTAGGCCTGCTGCAGTGTTCCTTCTTTCTTATGTTCTTATAAAACAAGGCCTACACACTGAAAGAAATACAGTGGACCCCCGGTTAACGATATTTTTTCATTCCAGAAGTATGTTCAGGTGCCAGCACTGACCAAATTTGTTCCCATAAGGAATATTGTGAAGTAGATTAGTCCATTTCAGACCCCCAAACATACACGTACAAACGCACTTACATAAATACACTTACATAATTGGTCGCATTGGGAGGTGATCGTTAAGCGGGGGTCCACTGTATACAGTGGACCCCCGGTTTACAATCAGCTCCCAATGCGACCAATTATGTAAGTGTATTTATGTAAGTGCGTTTGTATGTGTATGTTTGGGGGTCTGAAATGGACTAATCTAATTCACAATATTCCTTATGGGAACAAATTCGGTCAGTACTGGCACCTGAACATACTTCTGGAATGAAATAATATCGTAAACCGTATTAATGACAAACAAGATACAGTGGACCCCCGCATAACGATCACCTCCGAATGCGACCAATTATGTAAGTGTATTTATGTAAGTGCGTTTGTACGTGTATGTTTGGGGGTCTGAAATGGACTAATCTACTTCACAATATTCCTTATGGGAACAAATTCGGTCAGTACTGGCACCTGAACATACTTCTGGAGTGAAAAAATATCGTTAACCGGGGGTCCACTGTATCTGACAAAATTTCTATGTTTAAAGCCAAAAATCAGGCCTGAAAGAGCCTAAATTAAACTAAGACAAATAATGACAAATAAGAGAACAGAAAAAAATCTGTTTAAACAAAGCCAAAAAAATAGGCCAATAAGAGCCTAAGTTACTCTAAGAAATATATTAGTGACAAAAAAGATAACTGCCAAAATTTGTTTAAACAAAGCCACAAAACTAGGCCTTATTACAATAACCTAAATTAGAAACCACAATATTAGGTGGGGATTAAACTTGTGGCAAGTAAGTTGTAAAACTCCAGACCAGTGTGTAAGCCACTGGACCAGCTGGCTACAAAGATTCACCCAACTAGGTACATTTATACACAGTAGGAAGGTTAACACAGGTTCCACTGCGACCACAAATAAGATAAGATTTCGTTCGGATTTTTAACCCCGGAGGGTTAGCCACCCAGGACAACCCAAGAAAGTCAGTGCGTCATCGAGGACTGTCTAATTTATTTCCATTGGGGTCCTTAATCTTGTCCCCCAGGATGCGACCCATACCAGTCGACTAACACCCAGGTACCTATTTGCTGCTAGGTGAACAGGACAACAGGTGTAAGGAAACGTGTCAAAATGTTTCCACCTGCCGGGAATTGAACCCGGGCCCTCCGTGTGTGAAGCGGGAGCTTTAGCCACCGGGCCACAATGTAAGTTTTTACAGGTGAATCACCCACCAGTGGTTGTGACAAACTCTAGTTGAAGTCCCTTCAAAGCCATCATCATAACAGCTTTGAGGGGACTTGAGCTAGAGTACATCACAACCACACTGGCAGGAGATTCATCTGTAAAAACTTGCATTTGTAATCACAGCAGGGCCCATGCTAACCTCTCCATGGTGTATAAATATACCTAGTTGGAAGAATCTTACTGCAGCCAGCTGGCCCAGTGGCTTACACACAAGTCTGGAGTTTTCCAACTCACTTGCCATGAGTTCAATCCCCACCAGTACTCTGATATGTTTGCAATCGTGTCATTATGATTCTGTAAGTCAACCTAAATTTGTGTATGAAACATCTTAGTGACAAGATAACTGATGAAATTTCTAATCTTGTTTAAACAAAGCCTAAGAAATAGGCATATAATATAACAAACATGATAACAGGCGAAATTTTTATCTTTGTTCAAAGAAAAACAAATAGGCTTATAAGTCTAAATTGTTGGCTAGGCTGGTCTTACTTTATATATAATGTTAAAAAACCTGAACAATTTGTGAAATATATTAGTGACATATATAATAGAAATTTCTTGTTTTTCTTAAGTAAAACCAAAACAATAGGCCTATGAGAGCATAAATTGTTGCCTAGGCTGGAAAAAATAGCTGAAAATATACAATAGAATAAATTCATCTTATTTTTTAAATAAAATCAAGACAATAGGTCTGCAAGCCTAAATTACTGCTTAGGCTGAAATACATAACTGAAAATATACAACCTAGTTAAATGAGGCCTATAAGCTGCTACCTGTAAGAAAAATATTACACAAATTTTAAATATTTGGTTACAAATATTTAAAATTCGTTTAGGCCTACCAGGGTCTAAAACACTTGCTAAGCAGATATATAAAAATAATATAACTAATAAAATTATATAATTATTAAAGAAATTAATATACATGAAGTTTCTATATTAAAAAATATTAGCCTATGAGAGCCTAAATCACCTGCTGAGCAAAATATATTTGACAAAATACTAATATAATTAATAAAGTAATTAAGAGAGTAATAAATTAATGCACAATGCTAAGAAATTTTTTGGGCTAAAAAGTAAACATAGGCCTATTAGGCTCTAAACAATTTCCCAGGGCTGGAAATATATTACAAATATAATAATTATTATAATTAATAAAGCAATTAATACATACTAATAGGCCAATTTTGTTAAAAATAGGCCTATGCTTGGTGATACACAAAAAATATATAGTACACACTTCTAACAGACGAAACTTCTTTAGTTAAAACCCCTCAAAATAGGCCTATAAATGGTGTAAACCAGTGGGTAGGTTGTGAAAACAGGACTATGAAATTTTATAATAAGATCTATTGACACGTAATTTTCATATTATGGCAAACTAAACTAAAAACCTAGGCCTATGAGGGCCTAACTCACATGGTATCTAGGATATATGGCCTAAAATAATAATAAATTATGCAAATAAAGGCCTATGGTACACGTCCTGGAAGGGAGAAACCAGAGGGGGGTCAACATTTCCCTCAATAAAAAGGAGAAAAACCAGGCCTACCAGGCCTATAAATTACTCACGTCACTCTCGATGTCAATGTCTCGCTCCTCATCACTCATCTCATAGGCTCATGCCACCCAAAATACAGACAAAACGTGATAAATGAACTCCGAGGATCAATATGGCGTCGACTCAGCCCCCATCAACAACAACAACAAACATTAATAACTCAACGAAATTATCAATACAAACTTTATTACTAATTTTATTAAAAAAATATATTTGCCCAAAATAGCATATAAAACTATATGCTTTTATTTTGGGAAATTAGGTAAAGTTATTACTATTTTAATTATGTCTAACGAATTCCGTCCTTCGCGAACGTTACAAGAATTATTGCCAGTAATGACCAGAAAATTAATTTATTATTATTATTATTATTATTATTATTATTATTATTATTATTATTATTATTATTATTATTTATTATTATTATTATTATTATTGTCCAGTGTGTTATGAATTATTTTAAGAACATAAGGAGCACAGCTGAAGACCTACTGACCCAAGTTAGTCAGGTCGAACTCACACCCACTCATAATAAGAATAATAATAATATCTTTATTTCTACAAGTACATGTACAATGACATAATACAATAAACAAAGCCCCTTATTATGCTGAGCATTTCCTGCAAATTAGGTCAATTTTGACTTATGAGATGCTTTAATACATTATTCGTCCATTTAGGATTATTTTTGTTTGATCTAATTTCCCTGTTTTGAACATAAGTAATCTGGGAAGCTAGAACTATGTTTTGAAAAATGTCAGGTCGGCTGACCCATAGTCAGGTCATGCCAGTTCAACCCACCCAGGTAATTCCATGATATCTTGAAACTGAGTGATTTGTGATCACATTACTAGTTATTTCCTGGTGGCAAGAACCAAGTTCAGCAGGTTATTTCCTCTAGTTGCTTCTCTCACAACCTGTTTTAAAAATTAATCCAGAATTGTATCAAGTCTTCCCGTCACAGTGTTCCAGTCATATTATCTCAACTTCATATCTCCCGTTAATGCAATTTTTGTATCTACACGCCTTATATTATGTCCCAGTATGTTATGGTCCAGTATGCTATGGTCCAGTATGTTATGGTCCAGTATGTTATGTTCCAGTATGTTATGTTCCAGTATGTTATGGTCCAGTATGTTATGGTCCAGTATGTTATGGTCCAGTATGCTATGGTCCAGTATGTTATGGTCCAGTATGTTATGTTCCAGTATGTTATGTTCCAGTATGTTATGGTCCAGTATGTTATGGTCCAGTATGTTATGGTTCAGTATGTTATGGTCCAGTATGTTATGGTTCAGTATGTTATGGTCCAGTATGTTATGGTCCAGTATGTTATGTTCCAGTATGTTATGTTCCAGTATGTTATGTTCCAGTATGTTATGGTCCAGTATGTTATGGTCCAGTATGTTATGGTCCAGTATGTTATGGTTCAGTATGTTATGGTCCAGTATGTTATGTTCCAGTATGTTATGTTCCAGTATGTTATGTTCCAGTATGTTATGGTCCAGTATGTTATGGTCCAGTATGTTATGGTTCAGTATGTTATGGTCCAGTATGTTATGGTCCAGTATGTTATGGTCCAGTATGTTATGGTCCAGTATGTTATGGTCCAGTATGTTATGGTCCAGTATGTTATGTTCCAGTATGTTATGTTCCAGTACGTTATGTTCCAGTATGTTATGTTCCAGTATGTTATGGTCCAGTATGTTATGGTTCAGTATGTTATGGTCCAGTATGTTATGGTCCAGTATGTTATGGTCCAGTATGTTATAAGAACATAAGAACATAAGAACGAAGGAACACTGCAGAAGGCCTACTGGCCCATGCGAGGCAGGTCCAAGTCTCCTACCGGCTTAAGCCAATGCACCCAACCTAGTCAGGTCAGGTCACATTGACTTAAGGGAGGAACACGGCAACCGACCTGTTAGCACAAGCTATCAGGTCTAACTCACACCCACCCACATCTACTCATGTATTTATCCAACCTATTTTTAAAGCTACACAACGTTCTGGCCTCTATAACGGTACTTGGGAGTTTGTTCCACTCATCCACAACTCTATTACCAAACCAGTACTTTCCTATATCCTTCCTGAATCTGAATTTTTCCAACTTAAAACCATTGCTGCGAGTCCTGTCTAGGCTAGATATTTTCAGCACACTATTTACATCCCCTTTATTTATTCCTGTCTTCCACTTATACACCTCAATCATATCCCCCCTAATTCTACGTCTTTCTAGAGAGTGCAGTTTCAGGGCCCTTAGTCTATCCTCATAGGGAAGGTTTCTGATAAAATGGGATCATCTTTGTCATCCTCCTTTGTACATTTTCCAGAGAATTTATTCCATTCTGTAATACGGTGACCAAAACGTGCAGCATAATCTAAATGAGGCCCTAACCAAGGTTTGTATAGAGTTGAAGAACAACCTGAGGACTCCTATTATTTATGCTTCTTGATATGAAGCCAAGGATTCTATTAGCTTTATTGCGAACACTTATGCCTGTTGTTTTGGTTTCAGTTTTTAAACTGCTAACCAGAACTCCTAAATCTTTTTCGCAATCCGTAATATTAAGATCTACATTATTTAGTTTTTGTGGCATGGTTATTTTGCCCTGTCCAACATTAGAACTTTGCATTTGTCTATATTAAACTGCATCTGCCCACTTCTCCGACCACTGCATCAGTCATTCAAATCTTCCTGGATGCTCGAATGTCCTCGTCAGAATGAATTCGACGGCCTATTTTGGTGTAAATCGGCAAACTTGCCGATGTCGCTCTTTATGCCCTCATCTATGTCGTTTATGTAGATTGTGAACAGCGGGGGGCCCAAAACACTGACCCCTGTGGAACACCGCTCGTAAACGCTTCCCCACTCTGATTTTCCCCATTTATGCAAACTCTCTGCTGCCTATTTGTCAACCATGCCTCTATCCGGGAAAAAAAAATTTCTCCTCCTATTCCATGTGCTTTAATTTCCTCAATAGTCTCTGATGGGGGACCCTGTCAAAGCCTTTACTAAAGTCCATATACACAATATCATATTCATTACATGATCTACCTCCTCAAATACCTTAGTGAAAAAAGTTAATAAATTCGTTAAGGCAGGAACGCCCCTTTGAAAAACCCATGCTGAGATTCGTTGATTAATTTATGCTTTTCAAGGTGGCTACGAACTGCCTCGCAATTATTGATTCCATAAATTTTCCCACTATGGAGGTTAGGCTTATTGGTCTATAGTTTCGAAGCTAAGGACCTGTCACCTGTTTTGAAAATAGGTATCACATTTGCCATTTTCCACTTATCTGGCACCATGCCAGTTTGTATGATATGTTGAAAAGATTACCCAAAGGTGGGTAAGCTCCTCTTTACATTCCTTTAGAACCCTTGCATACAGTTCATCAGGGGCCTGGGATTTGTTAGGTTTTAATTTATCTATTTGCCTAAGGACCATGACACTTGTGCCCCTAATAGTGCACAGTTTATTATCGTCTGTTCTACATAATTTATCATTACTGGAATATCACTGGTATCCTCCTGTGGGTTAAAAACTGAGAGGAAGTATGGTGTTAAAAATTCTACACATTTCCTTATCACTGTCAGTGAGCTGACCCGAGGAAATTTTGAGTGGGCCTATCTTGTCCCTGATCTTACTTCTGTATACCTGAAAGAATCCTTTTGGGTTAGTCTTCGATTCTCTTGCAACTTTTAAACCCCATAATCTCTTTTTGCTTTTCTAATTCCCTTTTTTATTTCTCTCTTTAACTGAATATATCGATTTCTTAATTGCCCCTCTCCTCTTTTGATTTGCCTATATATGCCTCTCTTTTGACCAATCAGATATTTTTTAAACTATTGTTTTATCCATTTAGGATCATTTTTGTTTGATCTGATTTCCCTATTTGGAACATAATTTGACTGAGCAGCTAGAACTATGCCCGGAAAGCATCATATCGGCAAACCCTCACCACCTACCTGACCCTTAGTCAGGTCATTCCAGTTCAGCCCCCCCTAAGTAATTTTTCAGTCCTATGAAATCAGCCAAGCGAAAGTCAGGGACGGAGACTTGATTGCCATTATAGGGGGAATTCCATAATATGTTAAAAAATGAGTGATTTGTGATCACTCTCCCCAAGCTCATCATTAACCTCAAGATTATTAATTATGTTTTTTTCCCTACTGGCAAGAACCAAGTCAAAGGGGGTTATTTCCCCTAGTTGGCTCTGTCACAAACTGTTTTAAAAAACAATCCTGGATCGAATCAAAGAAAGTCAACCCGAACTCTAAATTTCCTGTCAAATTGCTCAGTCAATCTGTCTATAGTTGAAATCTCCCATTAGCACAACATTTTCGTATGTAGATGCCTTACGAATTTGTCCCATAGAAGTTTACTGCACTCCCTATCAAGATTTGGGGCCCTGTAAATCACACCCAAAATTGTTTTTTCTCGGCCCTCGAGAAGCTGTAACCAAACAGATTCAGGGCTGACGCTTCTAATTTAATATCTTGTCTAACACAACAATTTAAATTGTCTCTGACATACATCGCTACTCCCCCCACCTTTCCCTGTTGACCCTGTCAGTGTGGAATAATTTTTAGCCTTGTATGTGACATTCAGAGGGCATCTCTCTATCTTTCAGATTGAGCCAGGTCTCTGTTATAGCAATAATATCTATGTTTCCTGCACTTGCCCAAATTTAAACTTAGCTTTATCTATCTTATTTCTTACACTCCTGCTATTAGTATAGTAAACCTTAAGGGGGCTAGTCCCTTGCTGCCCTCTGGGTGTCCCCTTTGTTTGCTGACCTGTTCTATTGTCTTTATTTATAACTTCATGCTGCATGCCTTTTATACATTTACTGTTTCCAACCCTAGTGTTGCAACCTGCTTGTTTCCACACACACCCATACCTCTACTTCCACATTTTTAAAATCATAGGCATTTCCCCAATGGCCCTTCTCAATCGATCTGCAATGTACCACCCCTGCCCAGAGATGTACCCCATCCCTTGCATACATATCTGTTTGCCAAAAAAATTTGTTCAGTTGCAATGAAGGGTTTTGCAAGTTCCTTGCAGTATCTGTTACCCCAGCAATTTACCCAATTGCCCTAGACAACCATTCATTTCCTATCCCTTTGGGGCAAGAGCTA